TCTTGCGTTCCTGGCGCGCGTTGGGTCGGTAAGCGCAGCACCGGTGCCCGCGCTCCCCCTCGGCTCCCCCGTTCTGTTGCCATCGCTCATCGGGAGCGTTTCCCTGAGCCTGGGGTTGCGAAGCTGCGGTTGCTGCTGGAATCCGGGGAAACGGAAGGCAAACGGCATCTTGAGGGACTGTAAAAAGAAAGCGGGGTTTTGAACTGCCTGGCAGCGTACGGAAGGGACGAGGGCTGTTGTACGCGTGAACAGGACAGAGTTCGGGTCTTTATTGATGCAGCAGAGTCAAAAACCTCTGGGAGTGTGGACGGGAGAGGAGAAAACAGCACAGAAATCCTCCTCGGGGGCTCAGGTTGCCTCGAGTTCCTCCTCCTCGCTGCAATTCCCGGAGGTTTTGTAGGTGATGAAGCATTTTGTATGTGATGATACAACACGACTTCATCTCGGCAGAGGGGATGCCGGCGGCCAGGATGGTTCTGACCTGGCTTTGGGCTTGCGAGATCCCCCCGCCAGCCTGCCCGCCTTCCCGAGGAGGGAGAGCTGTGCCCGGGAGAGGTTCCCTTCCCCTCCTCAGACGCCGAGGGTGAGGAGCCCTGGGTTCCCGGGCTGCAGCAGTGTCGCACAAACCACCTCGGCTGCCTGCTGCTGCTCTCTGAGCTGCGTGGCATCTCCGCCACCCCCAATTTCACCCCTAGAAACGATAATAACCCGATCTCTCATTCCTTATGTTCGTGCTGGCCTGGCAAGGTACTGGTAAAGCAGCTCTTCTGGGCCACCAGCCCTCTCTCTGCGTGCTGGGGGTCCCTGCTGTGGAGTCCAGCCCTTTGCCCAGCAGCAGATTGGTGGAGAAGGAGAAGGCACTGGGAGCCCATCCTGCGGGAACCCTCTTGCCCGAGATCCTGCCGTGGCTCGGGCTGCAGCAGAGATGAGCGAAGAGTGGAGGGCGGCTCCTGGAACTAAACCGGGAAGGGGTGGGGATGTTCCAGAGCCTCTCGGGCTGGTCTTCCATCCTCCTCGGGTGGGATTCCTCCCCTGCTCCCAGCAGCTCGTCCCTCGGGAGCAGCTGCTTGATGTGTTCCTTGCCTGGGACAGAAGGCTCAGCTCCAGGGATGGGATGCTCTTCACGCGGAGAGCATCCCACATGAAGCATTCATGTGAAGATGCTCTTCCCAGTCACCCTGGGAGAAGCCTCCTTGACACCCCAGAGCTGCTTTGGAACGGCTGCAAGCAGCAGGAGCCTGGCAGGAACCTGGTCGGGAGGTGCTGCTGCCGGCAGGAGCACCCGGGGGCTGCGAGGGG